AGGAGGGCGGAGAGGGAGGGAGGGAGTTACCTAGGGGCGTTGGTGGGCGACGGCAGCGACGGCACGCGGCGGAGTTGGGCGAGTGAGAGTGTGAGTGGAGAGTGATGATGCGCGTGGGTGGATAAGGTACCCGTAGTACTAGCGCTGGTACATATCCACCGCTACTGCTAAGATACATAGCAGTAGCGCTTTAGTGGAAAAGGCGCTACTGCTATTATCATTAGCAGTAGTGCTGGTTAGAGGAAAGCGCTACTGCTAAGTTCAATAGCAGTAGTGTTTTTTATATATGAACGCTACTAGTATATCTAGCCTGCCTGCAACGGTCTGGCAATTATAATAGTAGCGTGTTTTGTATCCACGACGCTACTGCTATGTGAATAGTAGCAGCGCTCTTAGAGACAAAGTGTTGCTGCTATTTAGCAGCAGCGCTTCCTTTTTAAAAGCGCTGCTGGTGAGCTCCTATGTATAAGCATTTCCCTAGTAGTGCGTCGTAGACGATGGGCGAAAGGTTCCCCAGCGACGGGGTGGCGGCCAATGGCTTCGGCGGCCGCTCTCTGCATGAGTAGGAAGCCCATCTCCTGCACGAAGCCAACTACCCGGCGCCTCCCGACATGCGCGCGCCGGGGCGCTGGAGACTCAGCGCCGGCGGCGTCCCCGTCCCCCCGCTGCCTGACGTCACGCACCACGAAAACTTCCGTGCCGAGATTGAGCGTGCGCGGGTGTCTCTGTCGGAGGAGCAGCGGGCCCTCCCGGAGTACGACGCAGGCAACCACGAGGCATCGGCGGTGTACTTCGAACGCCGGCAGGCGGAGCGGCTGGCCTCCACCAACAACGCGCCGGTGGTGAGGGGGAGCAAAAATAGCGGCGGCTGCCGCCTGTAGTGGGGCGCCCCTGGCCGCATACTCCACGCCGTCCTCAAGTACCTCGAGGGCGGCAACGATCCACCGCTGACGTACCCGGCCGCCCCTGTCCCCTGCCAGAGTGGCGGCCAATGGATGCCGAGGAGGACCGGCTCCTCTTCCTCCTCCTCCCGATCGATCCTCCTACCACTCCTCCGGGTTGCCGACGCTCTTCAACGTCAAGGCCAAGCCCGCGGAAACGCCGCTCGGCCGGCGCACCCGCGGTGCCGGCATGGTCATCAACGAGAGCGGTCATGCCTTCTCCTCGGCTCCTCCCCGCCTCGTTAAGCCGAAGACATAGCCGGGGCTCACCGCCGTGAAGACGGCGCCGGGGCTCGCCGACGTGAAGAAGGAGACGGGGCTCAACGACGACACGGTCATGAAGTGGGCGCGGGAAGATTGGGCGCCGCTGGGGATGGAGCGCCAGCGCCGCGCCCTGGCGTAGATCGCCGCACGCCGCCGTGGGCGCGACGAAAGGGGTGTCATCGTGCTTGAAGACACCGACGACGACACGCCGCCACTGGCCAACCCTGTCTGCCTGGTCGACCCCGGGCAAGGGTCCAGTAGTGTGAAGAAGGATAAGTTATGTCCTTGTTCAGCGAATTCTTCGGTCTGTAGTCGCGGCTCTTTGTTTTTTTTAGTAAATTTCATGTTTTCTATGTAAAAAATGTAGAACGCCGAAGTTATGTCCTGTTTGCCGAATCTTTATCATGTTTGCCGAACCTTAATCGGTTTTATTTTCAAAGAAGTTAAAAAAAAGGCGCCTGGGGGTGACCCCTGGGGGCAGCGGCTGGGAACCCGATCGGCCCAAGCCGATTTTTAGCGCCGGGTCGTCCCATGCGGCGATTTTTGG